CTTATTACCTCATCATCATGAAGTCAACTTGACTACAAGTAGCTTTGTAAGAGTTCTCCAAAAGTTCTTTAAAGGAAGGTTTCAAGGAGACAGACTTGTCAATCTATACACCATTAGCTGCAGATAAGCACTAATCACTTCTCTCGCTGCCATCGGCGAGAACAAGAGGACAACAGATATGATCTTGGTCAAGATCGCGTTGAGGTGGTCCATTGATGGTGAAATGAGGAATGAGAAGATTTGTTCATTGGAGACAGTGAGGCTTTTCAAGTCCATGTCCAACTCTCCCATTAATATGATATTGTCCGCTTTGGGCTCAATTGGCAAAGCCTGCACAGATTTCTCTTTAGGATCCTTCCCAAAATGCCTCATATTAATTAGAGTTGGACATCTCTTATATATTAGACAATTCTTGTCTAAACTTCCGATGTGGGACTTGGATTGATATCCCAACAATCCCCCTTTCAAACCAAGTACCACATAAACTCGTGGACTTCTACTTTCAGCGAAACTTAGTACCCATCTTGTACCGTTTGTACTCTTGGCACCCTTATTCGTGAGGTCACCTTTCGAGGGCTCTCCTCCCACAATGAACATGTCCAACTCACTTCTCCAGGTCCACTTCTCTGAACCTTGGCTCTGATACCAATGTGAGGCTTTCCAAGCCCATGTCCAACTCTCCCATTAGTATGATATTGTCCTCTTTGGGCCCAATTGGCAAGGTCCACACGAATTTTTCTTTGGGCTCCTTCCCAAAAGGCATCATACTAATTAGAGTTCGACATCTCTTATATATTAGACAATTCTTATCTAAACTTCCGATATGGGACTTGGATTGATATCCCAACAGAGACTAAGCTTGAACCAGCGGCAATGAGGCTAAGCAAAACGTTGATTGACATTGGTGAGAACATAAGGTTGGATTCCCTAGCCACGGTAGCGATGACATGCTTCGCTAGTCTTACAACGACGTCGTTTTGCTTCTCGATTGATTTTCACAACCCCATGTTTTATTCTTTAAATTTACTGATCCAGACAAAAGAGAGATGGCGGAGGAATGGTATATGATGAATGATGACAAGGGAACTAATAACAGTTTTAGTATCCAACTCTTCATTGAACTAATCTTTATTTATATACTAGGTTTTGATCCACGCCAAGCGTGAAATTAAATATTTAAATATATTTTCTAATCGATCTTAATACTTAGACGTGTATTATAATATTCATAAACGTACAAAATGATATGTATTGTGCATAA